CATCTAATATGCATTGAGGATGTGTTAATATCTGACAAAGAGTGTCATCTAAGAGTAGGAAGTTTATGAAAACAAAGTAGACCAGGAGTACATCAAGCCGATTTGGTTTTACCGATCTTTTCAGAGAATCCTGATCTTTATATTGTTACCAATTTGTCAGAATATATAAAACGAATAAGTACAGCTAATTGTGGTGAAGAAAAACAATTGTTCATTAGCTTTCCAAAACCGTTTGCTTTTCAAGTTACGGAATTTTAAACACAACCACCGTTTTATGGTTCTGTCCAAGGATCACAAAATAAGTTAGTATTCTTTCAGGAAAACGAAAACAAATCATATAGGGATGTGTGTGAACATGGTGTGAATTGTTATCGTTTTGCTGAAAGAACGCACACCTTTTTTGTGATCCGTGGACAGAACTTTGAGACGGTGGTTGTGTTTAAAATTCCGTAACTTGAAAACTACGTGAGTGATTTGAATGATACTTGTACTAAAAGAAAGCTTATATAAAGCTGGAATATGCTTCAGCACCCCCTACTCCCGGGCACAAATGTGTTCCAGCCAGCAGTGTTCTACGACGATGAAATTGCGCCGCTACGCTATACATTATGCTTGCTCTACAAATATCTCCTTCGTTTTGTGTGTTTCTAGTTTTTTTTAGGAGTGGGACGGGCTTTTATTGAAACTAGCAATGCCTTACGCCAATTCCAGTGTAGTTTCGTTTTCATAAAAAAAGCTATTCATGTTTTACCCTCTGCAAGTGCTCATAGAAACTCAGTAGACCGATAAATTCTTGCCAAGCCCAAAACTTGCCATCTACCGATCATAAACATAAAGATGCATCTGGTCTTTTAGTCACTTGTACTTGTGTTTTTTTTGTCTGAGGAATAAGGACCCGAAAATACAAGAATAATAATGCACAGCATTGTAGATTAATTTGATTAAATGACAGTTGACCTAAACTTCCATGTCTGTGTCTCAACTGTGTAGCATTTCCTTGGAAAATACTTCCTGCTGTTGCCGATTTAAAAAACAAAACAAATTACATTCAAAAAATTAAAAAAGCTTACAAAGACGAACCCTAGTATCAAAAGAGATTACCAGTACACATAATTTTAGGCTTCAAGCATAATAATGTACCCGGTGCCGTATTCGGAAATACAAGTACTCGTACTCGTACTCGGAATACAAGTACTTGTACCCGTACTCGTACTCGGAAGTGGCAGTACTCGTACGTTCAAGTACTCGTACTCGGAGACATGTTCTTGTACTCGGAAGCACAAGCGCTCGTACTCGTACTCGGCTACCGAGGTACTCGACAGTACTCGGTACTCGGGAAAAAAGTACTAGACTACAACACTGGAAAATGTCTCCCTAATGGCCGATGTCTCCCATCGTGCGAAGAAATTACGATAAGGTGTCTCCTTAGTGGTACCATTACACGTGTAATAATAATGAACACTTGGTATTTAAGCGCCGGTATCCGCCAGGCATGACGCTCATGGCACTTACATACAAAGAAAAACATTAATTACAAAAACGACGTAGAAACAGATGGGTTTTGAGGTTAGATTTGAATGTGGACAGGGATTTCATTTGGCGTAGTTCAAGTGGGAGATTGTTCCAAAGTTCCGGGGCAGCATGAGCGAAAGACCATTGACCCCACGAATGATTGGTACGAGGTACTGTCAACTGGTGTAGTTCTCGTGAACGGAGATTTCTGGCTGGATGGTACAAAGCGATTAAGTCATTGATGTAACCGGTTGAAGTGCCTTGTAGTGAATGTAATATATGAAGGAGAACTTTGAATGTAATGCGATTGGTGATGGGAGCCAGTGAAGAGATTTGAGTATGGGGGTGATGTGGGTTGATCGTTTGGACAGTGTGACAAGACGGGCAGAGGCATTTTGAAGGAGTGAAGCTTGTCAATTAGATATTGCGGCAAGTTGTACTGGAGAGAGTTGCAGAAGTCCAGGCGGGAAGATATGAAAGCATGTACATGTACCAGTTGTTCTGGAGCTGTGCGATTGAGGTTTTTACGGATGAAGCCGAGATTCCTGAGGTGATAACGGACCGATTTTGATACGTATGCGACGTGGTTGATGAGTGACATGTTGCAGTCAAAAGTAACTCCGAGGTTCCGACATGTGGAAGGTAGGATGACAGAATCACCAATGTGGATACCGGGGATGTTGATCTTGGCGAGTTGTTGTTTAGAGCCACACATTATGAATTCTGATTTCCTATCATTTAACTTGAGACAGTTTGCCGCCATCCACGACTTGATCTCATTGATGCATGTGCCTCAAGATTTTTCAGAGTGGACAGAGCATTACAAAGGGACGGTTGAAATGACTGATACAGTTGAATGTCATCAGCATAGCAGGTTGTATTTTTGGATGATTTTACCAAGTGGTTGGATGTAGATGGTGAATAGTAAAGGCCCTCCGACAGAGCCTTGAGGAACACCACAGTCAAGGACAGTAGGGACAGACTTCACTCCTTTGATGCAAATGGTTTGATGTCGATTAGACAGGTAGGATTCGCACCATTTCAGAGATGAACCACATACTCCTAGAGAGCGTAAGCGATTGATCGGGACGGCATGATCGATCGTGTCGAAGGCCGAGGATAGATCGAGAAGAACAAGCGCTGTAACTTTCCCGACGTCCATCTGGTGGAGAATATGATTGGACAGGTGAATGAGTAGTGTTTCATACAACACTGTGGTGTGAACGATAGGCAGACTGATAATTGTGAAGGAGGTTATTCAGTCGGAGGAACATGGACAGCTTGGAGAATGCGACGCGCTCAAGTAGTTTTGAGAGCAATGGATACCGGGCGGTAGTTGCGAAGATCGTTCGGATCCAATGATGGCTTTTTCAACAAAGGTCGTACGTGGGCAGTTTTAAGGGCTGGGGGAACAACACCGGACTGCAGGCTATTGTTGATATTAGTGATTGCAGGCACAACTGAATCAGTGCATTGTTTCAGGAGCCAAGTTGGTATGGGGTCTAGGTCACTCGATTTTGAAGGTGACTTCGAGATTTCAGAGCAGATCCCATCGGGAGAGGCATTAGGAAAACGGTCAGAGCGGATGCTGGATTGGCATAAATACATGTGTCATCAGAGATAGCTAGAGGTAAATCTGAGCGGATTGAATCAATCTTGGACACAAAGACATTGCTTTTGTCTGTTGACTGAATTTGACTAGTCTTGTTTGTGCTTGCTTGAAATATCATGACCTGACTGTTGGTGACTAGCCTATGTAAAATGACATGGCAGGGGAAGAGGATTGATTTTTTTGACTGTAACTATTCAGACAGCAAGCTTCAATAGGGTTAAATGCCGAAAATAAGTCGATTTTCTTTTCTTGATCATGTTCAGGAGTCGTCCGCAGGGGGAATGCCCAACTGTTTTAGAATATCCTCATTTCTTAGTTTGTAATTGATAATTCTCAACTTTATTTCTGTATTAAACATTTCAATTCGAAAGCTGTCATCTTCTTTTACTCATTCTTGTTGGCCGTCCATGTTTCACAGCCATAATTTGCCGCCGGGGGGGGGGGGGGGGGGGGGGGGCTGGGACATTTCATGGGGGCGTCATGTAGATCAATGATAATTTTTTTAGAAACTCAAAATCTCAGTGGGGGGGGGGGGGGGGGCGACGGGGGGGGGGCGACGGGGGGGGGGGGGCGACAAGGTTTCATGGGGGACGTTTCGCAATTGCTTGCCGGTGTCATTTGAGATTTGAACTCCATAAAATAGTCTGTCTTACTTTTAATCTTCACAGAGGCTTGCGCAATACAACCAAGTACCAACGAGTCCGTATTATTTTTTTTTTATAGAGTCCGCACTTTACACTACACCAAATGTGGCGGACAACTCAAGTCACAAAGCCTCTAAAGCAGAGGTGTGCGCTGAAAAATCGGACTGATCTGACCGCACATGGTGAGACTGGATTAAATCAAACATGTTGATTTTTTTCGCGTCCGATTTCACTGGATCCGATGTCTCCAGAAAGGTATGTGGGCAGCACTCTGATTTCACCGGACACTTTACCATTGCTGCTGGAACAAACTTTTGCCAGGGGGTGCTGGAATAAAGAACGGACAAAGTTAATGCGAAAGCAAAGCGCAAAGCCCTTACATGTACGTCGAGGCTTAATTTGGAATATAGATGCTCTGCGGTGCAATCTGGGGGCGATTCCTTGCCACTTTCATTTGACCTTTTTAGCAAAAGTTTTTTGAGATTATCAGAGAATTTATTTCATTGTTTTGTTTAGAATATATTGTTGCTCTTAAAACGTTTAACTGTAGTGGAGAACCCTGTATTTTATCTCCATTTGGGTTCCATTTCATTCTGAAAAAAAGAATTGTATCATTATGCATGACATCGCATGTAAATATTATTGTTGCAAGGCTGCTTTCTTACATTTAGTAAATTCCTTCGCGTATGTTTTGCTCATTACGGCGTGGGGCCACAGGGCCAGGGGCCGCTTTAGTTCTGTGGTGACCACCCCGCGCGAACTCTGACCTTTGTCAGCATTTCGTCATACTTTGACCTGTCAGCACTTTCGCGTGTCGCTGGTACCTGTACATAATACGCGTTTCACATAGACTTTTCGTTGGTTCACAAACACGTGCGAAGGACGTGCCCCTTCGTTCTAACGTCTTAATAACGTCGCGTTCCTGTAAATTCGAAGTGCCAAGTTTTGCCAGTTTATCATCGTTATTCGTCAGCAATTCCAAGTTTTATACTAGTTAGTTAATTCTCGTCGTCTTCGTCCGTCCGTCGGTAACCTTGTGAACATTTGTAAATATATATTCGCGGGACCAGGATCGGTTTCGTCTCGCGGTAGTCGAGGCAAATTCTACCGCCAGCCACCGTGCGGGAGAACAGTTGGACAGTACCGCACACACACATCGGAACAGAATTGGGTGAGTGACACTTGACTGTAACGAACTCGCATTCCCCAAAGTGGTGACCCAAAAACGTGCGATGGCTACCAAATCGGAGCCGCAAAACCCAGATTCTGGAGGGTCTTCTGGAGCATCACCAGTCAGTGCAGTAGCTTTGAAACTCCCACCGTATTGGCCCAACGACCCGGTGATATGGTTCGCACAAGTTGAGGCGCAGTTTCTTACCCGGGGCATCAAATCGGAGCTCACGAAATACTCGTACGTGATCGCATCTCTACAACCATCCATTGCGCAGGAAGTAAGGGACTTGTTAGTCAACCCACCGGCTGATAACCCATATTCCAAACTGAAGGAGGAGCTCATCAAACGCACTAGCGAGTCGGAGCGAAAGCGCCTCCAAAAACTGTTGACTACAGAAGAGCTTGGAGATAAGAAGCCCTCGCAGTTACTTCGCACCATGGAACAACTCCTCGGCAATAACACACTGGAGCCTGCAATCCTGAAGCAGTTGTTCATGCAACGCCTGCCAACAAACATCCAATTGATCTTGGCCTCGACAAGCGACGTCGACATCGCACAACTCGCTAAGCTCGCGGACAAAATCGTTGAAGTTTCCCCGTCACCAGCTCAGGCCTGTGCTGCCGTTCCAGCACCAGCACTTGTTGCTACAGTCAAGCCATCTGCTGCATCGGAGATACAGTTGCTTCAAGCTCAAGTCGAAAAGCTCACGGCCCAGATGGAGTTGTTGGTGCGCCAGAACCAGTATCAACACGGTCGGTCGAGGAGCCGCAGTCGCGACCAAAGCCAGCACAGACGCGATCGCAGTTCTTCCGCGTCGGGGGACAACCCTACTGATTCCTGCTGGTACCATTGGAAATACGGGGACAAAGCTCGTAACTGCAAGGAACCATGCAACTACACACGCAACCACAGTTCCAACACGGCCCAGGGAAACCAGCAGGCCAGCGGATAGGGGCGACTTCATCCACTGGCACACCCAATCAATGTCGCCTTTTCCATGTATATGACAAAATCACAGGCTCCAAGTTCCTCGTGGACACCGGTGCTGAGGTCAGCATCCTCCCTCCAACGCCACGAGACAAGCAGTGCTGCAGGAGTGATTTTGTGCTCGAGGCAGTCAACAAGACACGGATTCACACATACGGTGAGCGTTCAATGACAATTGATTTGGGTCTTAGGCGTACATGCAGGTGGATTTTTACAGTTGCTGATGTACCAGTCGCAATTTTGGGAGCAGATTTCCTTCGCCATTTCGGGTTATTGGTTGACATGAAGGACAGAAAACTCATAGATTCCACCACTAGTCTTAGCATTCAAGGCATTGCAACAAGTACCAATGTTCTCAGCCCTGTTTTTGCTGGCCCATCCCCGAACACTCAATACACAGCCATTTTGGGTCAGTTCCCTGCCATTGCCAAACCTTGCTTCAAGGATGCAACACCCAAACATGATGTCACCCATCACATCACAACTAAAGGCCCTCCTGTATCCGCCAGGCCACGACGCCTTGCTCCGGACAAATTGAAAATCGCCAAGGCGGAGTTCGACCACATGCTACAATTGGGCATCATCCGTCCCTCCAATAGTAGTTGGTCATCGCCATTGCATATGGTGCCGAAAGGAACACAGGGTGATTGGAGACCATGCGGGGATTACCGCGCTCTGAACAATGCATCCGTCCCTGATCGCTATCCAATCCCACATGTACATGACATCACTTCGTCTTTGCATGGCCAGACCGTTTTCTCGAAGGTGGATTTAGTCCGAGCGTACCATCAAATCCCCGTGGAGCCGAGTGACATTCCGAAGACGGCCATCACCACTCCATTTGGCATGTTCGAATTCTTGCGCATGCCTTTTGGACTGCGAAACGCAGCCCAGACGTTTCAGCGTTTCATCGATAAAGTGTTACACGGGTTGGATTTCGTATACGCCTACATCGACGATTTACTCATCGCCAGCCATAGCGAAGAAGAGCACGAGTCGCATCTTCGGACGCTTTTCGAGCGGCTTGATCAGTACGGTGTTGTGGTGAATCCCGCCAAGTGCGAATTTGGTGTGCCGTCACTACAATTCCTAGGCCACCAGATCGACCAGGACGGTATTCGGCCACTGGACACAAAGGTTGACGCGATCAAACGGTTCCCAGTCCCCAATTCAACCAAGAAATTGCGCGAATTTCTTGGACTGGTCAACTTCTATCGCCGCTTCATCCCCCACTGTGCTGCCTTGGCACGACCTCTGACCGACCTCCTCGCTGGAAAACCCAAGAAGACAATCGAACTGACCAACACGGCAATCGATGCCTTCGAAGCAGTCAAGTCGGCTTTGATCAATGCAACTCGCTTGTCCCATCCTCGATCCGATGCTGAGTTAAGCCTGATGGTCGATGCCTCTGATTTCGCCGTTGGTGGAGTCCTGCAACAGCTGGAACATGACATCTGGCGTCCCATTGCTTTCTTCTCACGAAAGCTGCAACCTGCGGAGACCAAGTACAGCACGTTCGGCCGGGAGCTGTTAGCGGCTTACCTTGCCATCCGCCACTTCCGCCATGTTGTCGAGGGTCGCGCATTCTCCATCTTAACAGATCATAAGCCGCTGACACACGCACTCGCTGCAAGCTCGGATAGATACTCCCCCCGCGAGATCCGACAACTTGACTACGTGTCGCAGTACACAACTGACATCAGACATGTTCAGGGTAAACACAACGACGTCGCTGACGCGTTGTCACGCATTAGCCTGAACACATTCTCTGCCATGTCATCATCTACCATCGATTTCCAGGCCATGGCCGAGCATCAGCGCAATGATGAGGACTTACTCCAACACAAACAGCAGTCGGTTCTTCAGCTACAGGACATTCCGCTGGTTGCAAGCAAGAACACCCTAGCTTGTGACATGGCTACCGGCACCCCTCGACCCTTCGTCCCCAAGGTGATGCGAAGAGCAGTGTTCGACTCCTTGCATTCCCAGTCGCATCCCGGAATCAGAGCCACTCTCAAGCTAGTCAGCGCACGTTTTGTGTGGCCCAACATGAACCATGATGTTCGTTCGTGGGCTAAAACCTGCATCCGTTGTCAGAAATCCAAGGTGCAGAAGCATACCATCACACCACTAGGAACCTTCATCACCCCTGATGCCCGTTTCGACCACGTGCATATTGACATTGTCGGCCCACTTCCACCGTCCAACGGTCAGTCATACCTACTCACGTGCATTGACCGTTTCACAAGGTGGCCGGAAGCCATTCCGATCCCAGACATAACTGCAGAAACTGTCGCCAGAGCGTTTGTGAGCAATTGGGTAACAAGATATGGCACACCATCGACAATCACCACCGACCGCGGCCGACAATTCGAATCAGCCCTGTTCAACGCCTTGACAACATTACTTGGAAGTCGACGCATCCGCACTACTTCGTACCATCCTATCGCAAACGGACTAGTGGAGCGCTTCCACAGACAGTTGAAAGCTTCACTCAAAGCACAAGACGAGCCCAACAGGTGGACGGAAACGCTCCCTCTTGTTCTGCTGGGGATCCGAACAGTCGTCAAACGGGACATTGGGTGTTCGACAGCGGAACTCGTCTTTGGAACTACATTGCGCCTCCCTGGACAGTTTGTCGCACCCGTCAATGATGCTGGATTAGACCCAGGAGATTATGTTCATCGCCTCAAACGCGTCATGCGTCAGATAGCGCCAGCACCTACACGACCGCACACCCGCACCACACAGCTTCACAAGGACTTGTTGTCTTGCACACACGTTTTCGTCCGATGTGATCATGTGCGCAAACCACTCGAACCTCCGTACAAGGGCCCATATCGTGTACTTGAGCGAGCAGACAAATACTATACACTGGACATCAACGGCAAGAGCGACACAGTGAGTTTGGATAGATTGAAAGTCGCGTATCTTGAGATGGATCCCTCAACCGCGTTGCCACAACCAACATCGCCAAAACCGCCAGTGCCAACTCCTCAAAACCCGCCGGTGGCACCTCCCCTGCCTGCTCCAGTTGATCAGGACAGTACCACGACCGAGCGAACAACACGCACCGGCCGTCGGGTTCACTGGCCCGCGCACCTCTCCCAGTTCGACTGTGGTTGAACGCTGTAAATATTGTATATATATGTGGTTTTTTTTTTTTTTTTTCTTCGATCACTTCTTCCAGAAGCTCTCTGGAGGGGGCTGATGTGGTGACCACCCCGCGCGAACTCTGACCTTTGTCAGCATTTCGTCATACTTTGACCTGTCAGCACTTTCGCGTGTCGCTGGTACCTGTACATAATACGCGTTTCACATAGACTTTTCGTTGGTTCACAAACACGTGCGAAGGACGTGCCCCTTCGTTCTAACGTCTTAATAACGTCGCGTTCCTGTAAATTCGAAGTGCCAAGTTTTGCCAGTTTATCATCGTTATTCGTCAGCAATTCCAAGTTTTATACTAGTTAGTTAATTCTCGTCGTCTTCGTCCGTCCGTCGGTAACCTTGTGAACATTTGTAAATATATATTCGCGGGACCAGGATCGGTTTCGTCTCGCGGTAGTCGAGGCAAATTCTACCGCCAGCCACCGTGCGGGAGAACAGTTGGACAGTACCGCACACACACATCGGAACAGAATTGGGTGAGTGACACTTGACTGTAACGAACTCGCATTCCCCAAAGTTCTATCTCACCAAACAATGTAGCTCTCGATATATTTGCAGTGTCATTTGTTTGTTACAGGGAACGGCAAATATAAAAGATAAAATACCAAATGCATCTTTATGTTTATGCTCGGTAGATATAGCACGTTTTGGGCTAGGCAAGGATTTATCGGTCTACTGAGATTTAATGAGGAAAAAGTTGCAAAGGGTAAAACATGAATAGCTTTTTTATTAAAACGAAACTACACTGGAATTATGTTGGGGATGTGTCACGGTGAACCTTGATATTTGTTAATCTTGAGTACAGAATGTTAGCAACGTCAATGAAACCTTTAAATGAAAAAAAAAAACCTTCAGGGGAAACACGTGCCCCTATTGAAAGATCGAATGAAAAAAATCCTGGCAAGCATTATCAACTTTGCCACCATTGTCATGGCTGAGGTTATTGGTTTCGGGTCAAAGCTTCCATCGTGGCGGAAATATCATAGACATGTCATGATTTTAGATACCTTGAGAGAAATATCGATTCTGCACTGCCTGAAGATTTTGAAAATACCTCCTCTTGATATTTTACAGTATATGTGCTAGACGTTCGAAGCACCTCGCTTAGCCGCGGCAAAACTAGAAACGAACAAAACGAAGGAGATATTTGTAGAGCAAGCATAATGTAGGCCTATAGGGTAGCGGCGCAATTTCAACGTCGAAGAACACTGCTGGCTGGAACACATTTTTGCCCGGGAGTAAGGGGTGCTGAAGCATATTCCAGCACCCCAATCCAAAAAGTTGGGGGTGCTGCAGCACCCACAGCACCCCCGTTCCCGCGGGCTTGCACTTTAATCACGTTAACTAATCAGATTCAAGAAGGAAGTCACGTGATCCGGTGAACCAGTAAAATCGGAAAGGTGTGCGGCGGGCTTTATTACGCATCCCGGTATAGGTACATATCAAGTAACAACCAACGAAATATTTATGTCAGCCAATCAGATTCACAAAGGAAGTCACATGATTCAAAATTGACGGCTGCCATTTTGTAATCATGTCATCTAGTCATCATGTCTGACTAGTCATCATACGACAGATCATTCGTGTGCGTGTGCGGTTTCAGTTGGGTCTACACAACGGTGAAAAAAAGTACCGGTGATCCGGTCATCCGATGAACCGGTAAAATTGGACAGAAAAGC